AAAATTAAAAAATAAAAATAAACCATAAGATCTATTGGAAAATAAAAGTAACATGAATGCTAAATATTCTTCCCTAATCTTGAAAAATACTTGCCTAAAACTAATAAATAATATAATTCTTTAAAATAAATCCTAAGGCAAAAATCTAAGACAAACTAATATTGTCTTCAAACAAATAAGGACGACATTTTACTTAAATAAAGGTGACGGCTATGTCATTTAGGCGACAAGCATAGGTATCAGAGCAATTGGGTGGCGTGGGCAGGTAAGCACATGGGCACTAGCAGGCATCAAAAAGCGTGGGCGCTAACACGTGCAAGAGGGTAGATTTGAGGTTAGTGGGGCATTGGGCATTGGTGATGCACACAGATAAGATGCAAGCATTGGCTGGGTGTGCGAAAGGACGCTGGGCACGTGGTAGGAACTCGAGAAGAGACGTGTGGCTGGGCGTGCATTTGTTGGCGTAGGTGTAGGTAGGCAGCAGTAGGCACTCGTGCATGCAAGTGTGAAGATGCGCACATGAGGCTGGACACTAGCATGGGCATGGGCACTGGCACACGCACAAGGACCGCGTCTTTATGAGGTTCTTAAGTAAGGGCTGGGTGTCACAATTGCACTTCTTTGAATGGGCCAAGCTATTGTGCGACACTTGCTTTATAGCTCAAACAAGTAAGTCAGTCGAGAAAAATAAAAAATCACGAACAGTCTCAGTGTATGGTCTAGCCTCCGCTCATGTTTGTAGAAAAAATAGTTTTATAAAACGTGGGAGAGAAAACAGTTGAAAATATCTTTAAAACAACATTGTAAACATTGGGTGCAAGAAAACTTGATTGCAAAAGTATACAACGCTTGGTTGGGAGGAGTTTGATGACTACTTGGTCCCCCTATAGTAAATTCTAAGACATTTTTGGTGTGGTAAGCGTAGACGTGCAAACTGGTGAGGAGTCACTCGCTGGCATACAGGCTATATGTGAATTTCGATTGACTTAAAATTTTGTGTGCTTATATAACTACCTTATACGCACCTAATTCCAAAGTCGCTCAGCCATGTGGTGAGGATATAGTTGATGACCTGGTTAACTGGCG